CGAGCAGTAGCTCAGTCGCGAGTCGTCAACCGAGCGGGTACGCCAGACGGTAGAGAACGCGTCTGCCAGCGAGCGTGTACGCTGACGCGCACACTTACACTTGTCGCACGCGGCCGACCGACCACACTCTCTCTCCGTTCTCCTATCTCGACGCTCTTCGATCATATCCGACGTCTGTGCGTTCACGCGGACAATGATCCATGAGGGGAAGATTCGCATCTCGCTACGCTGACGAGCATCGCCGCGGTCGCAGCCTGTTTCAACGTTTATCCTGCGGATCTTTTTCCAGCGGGTGCACGCTGCACGAAGCCGGGCGAGCGTAGTTTTGTGCGCGAGGATGATGAAACGACACGAGTGGACAATACGAACCACATCGAGGGAGTTTGAGCAGTTACGCTTCGAGGAACGTTTGTAAACAGAGAGAAGAGAAGCTCCGGCCGGGTTGTTCCGGTCGAACGAGGAGGGTCGCGGGAGCACCGGCTTCCTGATCTTCCTCCTAACGTAAACTGTTCTGTGCCGTTCCATAACCAGCGGTGTGTCGATCGAGGGCATATCGTCGAGAAGGGCGGAAAAAACGGACCAAAGATTTGGAGCAGGTAGCATTTTTCAAAGGGAAGAGACGAGTGGTTCTCGGGCGAGACGAGTGGTTCTCGGGCGAGACGAGACGCTCTCGAAAGTTTCCCGGTTTTTTTCGTGGTCGAACACTCGAGGGATGAACGAGTGGCGTGGAAAAGACAGATCGGTCGTGGAAGCGTCGAAATCGCGACGAAAATCATGGCTGATCGAACGGTCGGAGTAGTAACGGTTTTACGTTAAATCAGGAGGCTGTGTGCTTTGTAGAGCTGTGGTGTCACGAGGAAGGAGCCCACGGTGTGACGCATGCGACGTGCCGTCTATCGCGAGAGCTGTGCGTCGTGGAAAACATCTGCGCGACCGGTGAAGCTTTTAACTCGTGTGCCTCCCCGCTCTGACGTATTACGTCGACGAACGGAACCAGCGTGGTCCTTGCGTGCTGTGTGATCCGCAACGGGCCTCGAGCGAGTAAAAAAAGCTTGCGCGTGCCGAGAACGATACAGGCTGAATCAGCACGGCTACGCACTGTTCGCTGACCGTTTCGCGGACTATGCTCGAGAATCGCTCGAGACCAGTTCCGTTCGCGAGTCACTTCGAGGAAACCGCGAAAATATTCTAATCGTTGCTGGACGTTGAAAGCCTTCATTCGCGATCGAACGTTCGTCTACATTCGGTTCGGTGTTCGAATTCATTCCTTTCAAAACGTTCATATCGACGACACTACAACTTGAAGAATCGAACGCGTGTTATTTTTGCCAAAGATTGGTACAACCGGCAGAAGACGGAAAGAAGGTGACATCGTTGTGCAGTTTCGGTTTCTTTTGGATGAAAAAGATAAGCAACGATGGTCCGGTTGATGAGAATTAATTGACGAAGAAAGATAGAGATAGATAGATAAAGAGAGAGAGGAAGAGAGAGGGAGAAAAAGAGAGAGAGAGAGAGTGTGTTTAGCGAACACGGGGAGTTTCTACTTGGAAGGTTTGCATCGATCACACTCGACGCAACAACGCGTCCGGTACGCGTTGGGTTCGAGAAGCTGTCGTGAATTCATTAAAATATCACGCTTCGTCGGTCGCCGCGTGGTTCAAACGAGAATGTTGCAGAGTACGTGGCTGGGCCTCGATAGGCAGTTTCACGCGTGAATGAAAGTAGAAAGAGTCGCTCTGTTTTGCACAGCACTCGCGACCTCGACAATGTAGCAGAATCGTTTCGATGATTCTCGAGGATACTCTGGAGCAAGAGTCGGATCGTAGCTGTTAATTCGATACTACACGTTGCACGCCAGGATAAGAGACGAGGAAGAACAGGTGGAAGATCTTGTGCTCGATACCGATCTCGACTTTGTCGGAGAGAGAAAGAGGGAAACACGCAGAGAAACGAGTACTAGGCGGAAACTCTCGGTATCGATGATGGTGGAAGGCAAGTTGCCAGGAGACGATTGGTTGTCGTGGTGCTTGCGTTTCTCTGGTACGAGCTGCTCTTGCTAATATCGCGAGTCAAGTGGCAAGTAAACAAAACGATAAAAGCGAAGGAATGCCGAGATACGATGACGGACTTGGTGGTCGTGCACGATCTTAGGATCGCGGTGCCGTTGTCGGCGTCGTCGTCGTCGTCGGCGTCGCCGTCGTCGACACGTATCTGGTGGGAACGCCGCCGGTGTTGCACGATCAGCTAATACAGATAGATAGATCGTTCGAATCGCGACAGGCCTCGAGCACGACCGGCTGCGCTAGGAGATTGTCGAGGACTTTTTAACTCGAACGATCCGTTGAACGAAAGCTTCGAGGAATTCCCTCTTCTGTTGGTTCAGCTCGAGGACGAGCTATCACTTTTCCTCCGGCAATTCCACCCAGTTGAGCTTTAGCCGGATTATTTCTTCAGACGGATCGAGAAGTAGAATTCGCGAGGAACACGCGAAGAACAGCGATCGAGGAAAACACACGAATGCGATCAAGGTACAAGAACAGCGATAACCGAGGAAAACACCAACGCGGAGATATACTTGAAGAACGTAAGCCGTCGAATTACGAATATTAAGGCGGCATTCGGACATAAAAATCTTTATTCGTCGCTCGACGTGCGAATTGCTGTCGAAAACGCGTAAGCGCGTCTCATGAACAGAGTCCTATATATAGTCGAAGTCGAGATAATCGTTCGCGAACTAATTGTTATGGCGAACTATCGAACAGTCCGGAGGTGAACGAGACTGAAGAAAATTGAAAAAGAGTACGACGAAGAAATTACATTAATAAAAATAATAACGATAGTAACAATAACAAATAAGGAGAAGAAGTAAGAGGAGGGAAGAAAGGTGGACAAATTTAGCGAAGAGAAAGAAAACTATTCCACCTTCGAGCATGGCCTCGGTGGCAGCGTGGCTGCCAT